TTTCATTATTTTTATTTTAAATATATAGGCAACTGGAAAGTGAAAGTGAAACCAAAGCATAGTGTGGACAGCACAAAATCATTCATAACAAAGTAAGTGCCAAGTCATTTAAGAGTGAGATAGGAAAAAAAGAGAGACAGAAAATGAGAAATTTAAGAATTAGAGAAATATAAATAATATATATTAAATAGTGAATGTCATATAACTATGCATTATAACAAATATAAATTGGCAAATAATGTCAATATTCAAACAATATCATAGCCTGTGTAAACTATGAACATTTCACTTACTATGGGCTAATTTTAAAAAATATCTTGTAGTATCTTTTAATTCTTTTTCCTAATTAAGGTTATACAATATATCAGCTAAAAACAAATTACATAAAGAATTCATGGTCAAAAAAGATAAAGAAAAAACCCCAACAAATTACATAAGACTTTTCTAAACAATAATTTCATGGACTTCATATATTTGTTGATTTTATCATAATTTAGCTTGATTTCTCATACAGGTAACTTTTTCCCCTCTAGAGAAACTAGAAAAGAATAAAATAACTTGCTTTGCCTAGAGTTACAGTTTTAATATAACAAGAAATAAATGTGTGTGTTTGTATGTGTGAATATACATATATATAAAAAGATAATTTATCTGTGAGAAATGCAAGTTTTTATGTTATATAATCTCATTTTAGAAATTCCACACAATTAATTCTCTTGGTCCACCACTCACCTGCCAGTTCATTGTACTGTGATAACTTGTGTGCTGCTGGAAACTATGCCACCAGAGACACCCAGGGTGGACAGGTTCAGTGGAACTTCCAGATTAAGATAAACTAGGAAAAGGAGAGGAAAACCATAACCACTGAGAAACTAAACAACACAATCAGCCAAATTGACCTCATTGATGTGTACAGAGCATTCAACCCAACAACAGCAAAATATACATTCTTTTCCTATGCACATGGAACATTCTCCAGAATAGACCATGTGTTTGGCCACAATAAATTTACAAGCATCAAAATACTAGAATGCATCTTCTTAGACCACATGCTGTGAAATTAGAAATAAACAATAGGAAGACCAAGGAAATAAAGCCAAATACATGGAAACTGAATAACACCCTGCTGAAAATCTACTGGGTAGTAGAAGAAATTAAATGTGAATTCATAAAGTTCCTTGAAACAAATGAGAATGAAAACACAATATCCCAACATCTTTGGAGCAAGCCAAAAGCAGTGTAGAGAGGACAATTTATTGCAATAAATGCATACATCCAAAAAGAAGTAAGAACTAAAACCACCATACTAACACAACATCCCCAACAATTAGAAACAGACCAGCATAGTAAACATACAGTAAACAGAAGAAAAGAAATAATTAAGATTAGAGCAGAAATAAATGAGATCGAAAACAGAAAAACTATAGAAAGAATCAACAGGATAGGGAACTGGTTCTTTGAAAGAATTAATAAAATTGACAAACCATTGACAGAGCTAACAAAAGAAAAAGGGAGAAGACAATATAATATGCATAAGAAAAACTGATAAAATAAATAATAGAAATAAAAAAGACAATAACAGAATATTATTAAGAGTTGCATACCAAAAAATTGAAAATATAAAGGAGATAGATACATTTTTGGAAGAGCACAATCTACTTAAACTTACACAAAGTGAAGCAGAAAACTTGAATAGATTTGTAACAAAGGATGAAATTGATCAGGTCATCAAAAAACTCCCAACCAAAAAAGTTAAGATCTAGATGGCTTCACTGGTGAGTTTCACCAAACACTCAGGGAAAAACTATTATCAATTCTACTCAAATTATTCCAGAATACAGAAGAGAAGGGAAAACTTCCTAAAACATTCTATGAAGCAAGCGTATCCCTCATATCAAAACCAGGGAAGGACATTATTAGGAAAGAAAATCATGTGTGACAATATGGGTAAAAGAGTAGAAATAATGTTAAGATGCTTGCCTGTCTTATGAATATTGGTTTCACTTGCCTACTATTATAAAATAGACATGAGTGGGATAGAAAGGAATATCTGGAAACAAGATTACAGAACGCTTATAAGCTTGTCTTCAGCCTATAAATGATCGCAATACCTAAAAGGGGTCCTAGAAGTTACTCAGTGAAATGGGCTTCTTGCGGAGCCTTTTTAGTGTATAGGTCCTAAGGTGGAATCCTGAGCCTCATCTTCTCACATGGGACATTCCCACTAGAAAAGACAAGAAGACCAGCCTGGAACGGCTAGAGCAACAGAAGATACTTTCTGAAAGAAAGATGAGCAGAAAAAAATCCAAATAAAAAATGACATTCTGATTGGCTACTATAAGAACAAGCAAGTCATTTACCTGGGAGCCATCAAGCCAATCAATCAAGTCCCTACAGGACAAACCCCCTCTAAGACTGAAATTCAAAGGGAACACATGAGCAGGTATGTAAGCTTGCTGGCAAGCACGTTGGTCTACTGGTGAGTGGAAGAGAGGAAATGCAGCAATGTAGATGTGGGCTGAGTTCTACCACGTTCCATAGACTCCAACAGACCTGGAGCTGAGAAAAAGAAGAGAAATGGCTGATTGATCCAAAGTGTGATGAGACCTGAGGACACCTGAGTCCATGAACAAGGACATAGCCACGGATGGCTTGAGCAGAGAGTGAAGCATCCAGCTGATACAAAGTGACTGGCAATGCACAAGAATGCCCAAACTTGCAG